TTGGAAAGATATATTATCAAATTTAACATTATTATCTAAAATTCGTTTTGATTTTTTTTTCAATGTTCTTTGAATATTGAATTAAATGATATTATTTTATCATATCAAACATCATTTTATTATAATAAAATATGCTGAAATGAGTAAAGATGAACATGCGTCATATTGGTTACCATATAGGACTAATAAAATTCATTTATATACAATACCATAGTCACAAAACTCATCTTTTTCAATGTATCTTCCTATTATATCATCAAAATTGACGTGTAATCATGAGACAGATATATACAATAAAGTAAATGAATTAAATTTATATTATTCTAATGGTATAACAATATTAAACATAACAGATACAATAGAAAAATTTTCAAATATTTCATTATTAAATATACATGTAGATAATTCAGAATCATTATCATCAAATAACTGTCATTTTATATCAATACCATTGTATACTTTATCATTATCATTAAAATATTTATATATTGATCAAAGATTTGTAAATCCAAAACTACTTCATTCTGTATTTTCAATTGCACCAAATATTCAATATTTAGAAATTGATTACGATCAACTTATAAAAATTACTCATCATTTTTATGATCATATATTATGTTCATATTTAAAGAAAATAATCAAACTTTCTATTAAAATGAATTCATTATCAGAAATAAAATTTGAAAAATTATGTCGAACATTTTCAAATATACAACAATTACAATTTAATTTAGAATATAATCTACAATATGTTATTAATTATATTCCTATAATAATACAAATGATATTGAACAATATGGAACATATTAAATTGATTAAAATTCAATTTTATGATTATTTTACGGATTATTCGAATGATACAATTGAATGATTAACACAAAACACAATATTAAAACAAAGTTCTATGCTAGAATTAGCGGAAATTATATGATCAGTTGGCTTTAGCTTCTTGGATATTGCTGAGCATATGGAATATTGACCAAAAATAGACAGCAGTTATTGTGTTAGAGAATACGACCTTCAATCACATCATCCTGTTCTACTATTAAACTTTCATTAGAATCCAGTCATATTTTAAAATACATTCTGTATAAATATCGCTTCTGCTTGAAACTTTCTAATAATAATCAGGGTATAGTAGAGAGTATATCATGAAAATTTCAAATGAAAATATTGTTTCTAAACTGAATTATGAACTATTAATTGTAATAGTCCAAAATATGAAAAGTTCGCTTTCCGAATGTAAAATGTACGTAACTCAACAAGAAATCACGATTAAAAAGTGTAACTTCCGATATAAACAGCAGACTGCTGATTCAATTATATATTCAATATATATTTCGGAACTACTATTGTAAATTCTATAACACTGCAGAGGAAAATCGTGCAGAGCTTGGAGATGTTTCATTTTAATCAGAAATTTGCAGGCTACAATTGTGTCTCTTTAAAAAGGTTTGAATTATCTTTTAGAGTTTCTGAAAAACTGATTTTTCAGAAAACCAGGCCTTCAAGAGCCGCCAACAGATATCTTTTTAGGCTTTTACTAATTCGATACCCTCTGTCGATCGACGTATGAACGAACGAAATTGGAAGGTACCACTTGGATAGGTTTTCCTCCTCGTTAGTTCTCAATTTGGAGAGGACACTTTGGACTATCTATTTATAAAAGAAATCAGTAGATTTCTATGTCAGTTTCTACGCATCTGAGTCGATTTTCCAAAGATCTTCCAAAAACCGATCTTTCAGATAATTTCGGAAAATAGTTTTGCTTATGATAACATAGTTTCAGGTGTCCTTTTTTGACTTCTGAAAACAGCAAGTTTCTATCATTCCTCATCCTTGAGTTATTCGTAAAACAACCGAGTGCCTTTTACTTTGGCGCCGATAGTAGTACTCGATTTACAGGTATTAGTAAAAAATGTGGACACCCACGGACATGCACTGAAAAGCCCAGTTACGTTCCAGTCTTGCTTATATACACTGCTCATTCTGCATTTAAAGATTGAAAAAGAGAATCTGATGCTATCAACTATAACTTATATTATGTTTGTTCACACTGTCGTACATGTAACCATCAGCGTGCTGGTCACGAGTGTGTAGTCCTGTGACAAAAAACATTAAAAACATAACCTGACCGAAGAACAAAAATATGTTTTTGTTATCGATGCTAAACATAAATAAGTAAAGACATTTTGTTATGTTGTTTGATAAGAACAAAAAGAAAGCTTATGAAAATGCAACGTGTAAGTCAAATGAACTGACATGTATTATCTTTTATGCCTAAACGAATCTACACGTAAAATAGCTTCATGGCATGGCTGCGACATATAAGGAGTTGAGTGTAAACCCTATGAGGCTCATTAATGTAGATTCGTTTAGGCATAAAAGATAATACATGTCAGTTCATTTGACTTAGGGATGCCGTCAAATTGTTCATCGGTTTAATCGCTTTAAGGGCTTTCTATATTTGATAGATTTATTCACAAAAACGAAAAAAGAAAAGTAAGAAACGATAGAGGGTGAACCAGAGATTTTTTTCCTAAAATAGAAGAGAACAGAAAAGAACGATATAACGTTGATATATGAGATATACGATAGATATTGCTTCTAAGTTTTAAATTTTTTTTGCTTTTGATCCAAATGTTCGCTGCACTCACTATAAAATTCAAGGGGGAAACGGCAGACTACAGACTCATGGAGTCCCTTGGAGTCCCGGAGTCTGCTGTTTCCCCCTTGATAAAATTACTCTATATTCTGTGAACTTAACAGATTAAAATAAAACTAACTAGAATGTACACCTCTTCATTTTCTATGTCAGTTTGAAGTACACAAGATATACTATACGTGGAGCCATTTTTTAGAAAAGGGTACAGTCTACTTTATGAGATACAGGGCTGTCAATAACGGAGCTGAATATGAGACATAGATGTATTTGTAATGTATATGTAAACTTACAACAAGTTGTACGAATACAAACACAATACTAAAAGACGAAGCTAAAAAGGTACGTTAAGTTCAAGTATCACAGACAGTTATATAACAGACATCAGTCAATACATTCACGCGTTACGTATAGACCGGAAAAACAGGAATATTTCAAACAGAGAATAATGAATGAAATTATTATCTTTCTTTGAGCAGTACAAAATGATACTAAATCTGCTTTTTTCTACCATATTTTCTACTCATACGCCAAGCCGATCGGGCCCGGTTCAGCAGTTTGACCGGAACCGATTGGTTGCTAAGTCTCGACCGGACCGGGAACGGGCACCCGGTCCGGTTGCATCTCTGCCGACAAGTACCTAAACACAATCACCGACGTATTTTGTAGTAACTCTAATATAAATACAACTTTACCGTAGAAAATGAAAAATTATTTTAAACTCAAACTTTCGCACCGAACACTGAGACATAAAAGCTCGTTACTGTTCGACGACATGTGAGTCAGTACTCGTAAGTTTTGAACTTTTGCCAGCTCAGAATTACCTTATTCTGGCCAGCTGAGGTCAGAGAATGATTAAACAAATAAAAATAATAAACCTAGTAGGATAAACCAGCGAAAAACTTCGATAAAATCCTACTGCAATCCTGCAACAGGATCCTGTGGGATCTTACAAGGTTCTAAAAGAACTGGTTACAGGATCTTGTAGGAATCTTGTAGAATCCTATGGGAATACTGTTTAAGCTGGGTGGGCATTTGTAAATCGATACATTCTTATTCATTCAGGTAATACTGTTAATACCTTCCAACTGATTTATTGATCAAAGTAGTTTATAAAACATTAGATAGTGTTTATTCTAGTTTTCAGATATTATTTTTATTATAGTCACACTGTGAATGCCGACTTTATAGTCTTTATTGAATGCGCAATTAGCTGATGTTCTTCATTCTTTGATGTCATTCATTTTTATGAATATGTGCTGAGATAAACAGTAGTACTAATTACTTACTTTTAATAGTGCCGACACTATTCGCTTTATTATTATCAAATGTTGGCCTTAAACGATGACGACAGAAAAAGAAAAGAGAATAGTTAATAGATAAGAATTCATTTTTACTCTTTCTCTTTTTTTTTAATAAAAATTCAGGTCAATAAGTAGGTAAAACATACTAAGATAACCCGAACTTTTATTCCTCAATAATAAAGAAAGAAAACCAAATGCTGATTGAAAAAGCATTATCGTTCATTAAATCTGGATCAAAGATCTATGCTCACGGTACGTTGTCTATATATAACAGAATTTGATAATAGAAAAACAATTGTCGTTATCTTTTTATCAGTTGGCGCATCCGTACCCAAACATTTGAATCGTTTAGTTACTCAATATGTTGCATCAATGAACCTTCGTGATATTGAAATTATTCAAGGATTAGCATTGGATGATTCTTACAATAGTTCACAACATTTTTTTATCAATAGTTTATTTACTTCTGCATGTGACAGAAAATTAATCATGAATGGTCTTGGGTCATATATACCGATATTTCTTAGTGAAATACCAAAATTATTTGATGAAAAAATTCTAAAACCAGATGTTGCATTACTTCAAGTATCACCACCCGATCAGCATGGCAATTGTTCATATGGTTTAAATAATGACGGAACACAATCGGTTATTAGAAATACTAAAAAAATTTATGCACAAATAAATCGTTCAATGCCACGTGTACACGGTAATGGTTTTATACCATTAAATAAAATCGATTTTTATATTGAACACGATGAACCATTACCTGAAGTTGATTTTACCGAAAAACTAACAACAGTTGAGAAAAAAATTGGTCAATATGTGAGTGAATTGATTGATGATGGTTCAACTCTACAAATTGGAGTTGGAGCAATACCAAACTCAGTATTAATGTATTTAATAGATCATAAAAATTTAGGTATACATACAGAAATGTTGACTGATGGTGTCGTTAATTTAATAGAAAAAAATGTTGTAACAAATCGAATGAAAAAGATTCATAATGGTAAATCAGTATGTACATTTATAGCTGGTACAAAAAAATTATATGATTTTGTTCATGATAATCCACAAATATTTTCATTAGAAGTTGATTTTGTGAATGATTCATATATAATAGCACAAAATCCTAAAGTATGTGCAATAAATAGTGCGATTGAAATTGATTTAACGGGTCAAGCGTGTGCCGACTCTATTGGTTTACTACATTATTCTGGTATTGGTGGTCAGTTAGATTTCTTTCGTGGTGCAGCTTTAAGTAAACATGGTAAACCAATTTTAACATTACCATCACAAACAAAAAGTGGAATATCGAGAATTGTGAATACATTAAAAGAAGGTGCAACAGTGACATCAACTCGAGGTCATGTACATTATGTTGTAACGGAATATGGTGTAGCTTATCTATTTGGTAAAAACTATCAACAACGAGCAAAAGAATTAATTCGTATTGCACATCCAAATCATCGTGAAAATTTAGAACGACAAGCATTTGACCGATTTAAACATTTGTATTAAGAAAGTACTTGTTCAAACTAATACTATTAGTTTTAGCTGCACCTAGCAATTGTATCGTTGATATAATATCTTCTTTTAAATTAACTTGATGTGTTTATCAGGAAAATATTGATTTGATTTATAAATCTTCATTTTCACATATAGATTATCGCCACCACTAAACTTTCTCTACAACTTTCAAACATTACTATTAATATCGTTCTCATAATACAGTGTCCATCGACGTTTTTGGAATAACTCACTAAAGCAAAAGAATAGGATATAGGGTTTTAGCACCTTGAAACCAACACTTTGATGATCACTTCATGAGAGAAGAAGTTTGAAAAGCATTCCAGGAACCATGATTTCCAGCGGACCTTTGGCCAACCAGCTCTGATTTCAGAAATTTGAATAGCAATACATTTGTTTTCTCACTCTGACAGATAGCCCATATCGTCTAGAAAATGAGACCTGTGCCAACCTTGCAGCTATCTTGGTCTGCGTAGAATTCGTAACTTTGGTTTAAGCCTGTAATCTTGAACCAGAACGAAATCGAGAATATAAATTCCCATTATATCATTCTGAAACTTGAACTTATCAAAACACAAAATCAGTCCTTGCACGAAGCTAGGATCGAACACACGAACTTGATCTTCGCAGACGAACTGCAAAAATCAACCTTTCCTATATTCTGCACAATGATTGAAGTTGTGCAATGACTCGATGTTATCCTTCAATGGTGGCTCGATGTTCCTTCGTAACTTTTTCAATGGTCTTTTTTAAATCCAGACATTCCTCACACTAGGCTACTCAAAATAAAACTTTTTGCTAAGACAAGTAGCAGGGATGTCACGATCCCGATACGTTATGGATTTCATACGTACCTGTTTGAATATTAGAAGAATACGTCTTGGATTTTATTATAGAAGAAATACGTAATACGTATTCGTATACTAGCTTGTTGAGGACTGAAGATAATACACGGGATGGATCGGTAAATGAATATACCTTTAAATAAATATACCGTGAATGAATATACCTAACAAGGAAAAGAAATGGTGTATTTTTACAGAATCGAAGAAGTTTCCTGAAATAACTCTCGCTCGAACACACACTCGTGCACAGAGTATATCAATTTTTTAATAATCGTGTTTTATTCAACGGCGGAAGCCATTAATAATATCTGTTAAATGCGGACGAAATACTTAACATGAGAGTGAGCCACCTGATAAAATTTCTGCAAGGAGGTGCTATTCAATTATAGCATTAAACTGTATACGTACAGGCTTTCTCAGGAATAGCAAACTCACCCATTGATTACAGTATAACGTAAAACCGATTAACTATTAATTGATATTATCAATCAATATCCGATTTTTAGATGCTCGTATGCTGTCAATTTTTTGAGTATATAATTAATGATAAACGAGCTGATTTTAGAATATTTGAAAGCTTTATAACAGAAGCTAGTAAAGCTGAGAAAGTCTGTATGTTTTACACCACGGATTAAATCCGCATGTACAATATTTACAAATAATTAGCTCTCCACTGGTAGAATCACACGATAGCCTCAGCTCACACACAAAATTATTGAACACAAATAACGGCATCATACGTTGAACTGCATGTACGATATCCTAGATCAAAAGTGTTGATTTTGCTTCCTCGTCATCACATGTTTGTCTCACGATGACTTGATGGTGAAATTTCTAATATCATATCAATAGAAAATGAATGAGCTTTTTTATCTACATGATGTTTGTATGTCAGTGATGTACTGTTAGTCCACATATTCTGAACTGAACAATTCCTGTCAAGATTCGTAGCAAATAAGTAATGTTAGACTGCGTAAACATTGTACGTCTTTGTTTCTTTAACTTTGGTAACGATATTTTTCTAATCACAAAATGTTCTATATACGAAATCAAACAGCATAAGACTTTTTCAAATTTCAGAAGAACAGACTGGTTATCATAACACAGTCAGTTTACACGAATTGAAATTACTCCACGATGAAACAGATATTTATGGAAACTGTTGGAAAAGGCTGTAAGTTTAATCTGACACAGATTCCAAAAGTTTAGAAAAATAACAGTATACATGTCGATAAAAAAAATGCTCTCTTTCTTGTAAAAATGCTGTGTGCTGAATCTCCGATTAATCTTTCCCTGAGTCCTTTCTGCTAAGAATGTAACATTCGCGATTTTAAGGCTCTCCTATTAGGGAAGTTCAAGTAGAACAAGGTGTCTTGTACCTGTAGTAGAAGCAAGCGTTCAAGTTCTATTGCCTTTGAAGGAGACGTTACGGACAGAAAAAAACATTAAGTCCGTTACATTTGGAATTGTGCAGTGGTTGTAAATGGTTTGAAAGCAGTATAGAACAAGCGTAATTTAGTGCTATAACTTTTTTATCTTCACCGATCTAACCTTTGTGTAGTAAATGAAATAAATAAAGGAGCTTCGGGACTGTTTATTTATAATAGACTACCCAAGCATGAAAAATAAGCTAGTAGCTCCCGCTCCAGCTAGCTACACGAGTAGGGATCCCAGATTCAAAACACGAAAATCAGAAAATAAAAGTCGAAAATCAGTAGACCTTAGGACAAGACGAGCAGAAACGAGGCAGAAAAAGTTCCAAAAATCAGAAGATAAGGAATCCCCGTACACTAGCTTCATAACTTGCTGGAATCAGCTATAAAGCAATGTAAAAATATTAAAGCGTATTGTGTTGCGCTACAGCTAGCAACACTAGTTTTGATACCCAGTGCAGCTAGCTGCATCAACGTACACACCATGGAATGGGCGCTATAGCGGCCGCTTCAGCTAGTAACGAATTGACTAACACGATCTTCAACGAGTTGAAGCTAGTTGGAAATCGCATACAGTAACTTGGTTTTCCATGAAAGAAGCATTTCTCAGAGCTGAATGTAGAGACAATAGTATGTAAAATTTAGTTTTTAACATATTTTTCATTTGGTACGAATTTAGGAAAAGCTTCCTTCAAGATGAAAATGCGATTCTTTTTATTATTCTTGATTTTTCACTATGAAGGAAGTATGTTGGAATATTGAGCCTAGAGAAAAACGTATTGCAAACTGAATTTTCTGTATTATTATCTGTGGGTTCGACTCTGAGAAATACTTTCTCCGTGGTAAATAATCCTAATTTAGCTAATCTAATTAAACTTTTTTAAGTTCAGTTCACTAGTTAATCAGAACAGAACGAAAAATATATATTTTTGGTTGTGTTCCTGTGCCACAGTGGCGTACGGAGAAGATTATTAATTTTTATATACAAAGTTCGAATCTCTGCAGGAACGTCTTTTTCGTTTTCATTTTTTTCCTTCAGTTTTTTCATTCTATATATATATACTCACTACAACCAGCACTGAAGCGGGTTAGCGGGTTTGTCCCGCTGCAGCTAGCTACACTCGCTAAATTTTACTCTTTTAGCTAGCTGCAGTCAATGGGCAGCTAACTTATTTCTTATGAAATTTCATGCTTGAGTAAACAATATATGATAGTAAAAGCAACTACAGGTAAGCGATAAACCAAAAATATGATAGAAAACAACCGATTAACACTAGATTGAGATAGAAACGCCCGATGTAATTACATAGATAAAGAAGAAAACGTGAAAGCATGACTGATGAAATAAGGTATGTTGTTAGATATACATCGATGTGCGCACAGTGGGCGATCACGTGGACATTTGGAAAAATTTCGAAAGTGAGATTCAAATTCACACTTTCGGATATCCTTTGTTTAATAGTATAAAAATACCTATTGTCCGATCTCATGATTCATCGGAAAATAATTAGCTAAAAGCTGGCCTAAAAAACGGATGTTTTAGGAAAAAAGTATTATTCCTTGAATGAATCAATCGTAAATTTAAAAGTCGTACAGATTCTGAATATAGACACCTTTAACTATATTTTGGTGCAAAACTTTCTTAGTTCAAACTTATAAGCAGGGAGAAAAAACGTATCTTTCAGATTAACAATGTTCCCCAACTACTATGATTACCAAAATGAGAAATTCACCAACATTTATTTTTCAAACTCGCTCAAACTTGGTTAAAATGTTCTGCAGACTATGCTGGATCAATAAAAATAGCACATATTAGCAAAAACATTTCTGAATCTCCCGGCAGGTTTTCTAAAAACCTATGGTCTTTCACGTGAAACCTCATTGTCTCGGCACAGAAACTCTTTCGAGAAAAAATAAGAGCAGATTCGAATTCAGCACTTAAAACTGAATCAAAAACTGTGTAAGAATTCATATTGTGACTGAACACATAGGCACGGGCTTTTTCGTTAAAAAGACAATTCTTCGTATTTCAAACTACTGTTTTGGCAAAGAAAAAACCGCTTCTGGTAGAAAAAAACTTATGTCCACGTGACATAGCAAAACTACCTACTGTGGTGCATTCACATATATTACTCTGAGCAAAAAATCGGCTTCTGAAAACAGATCGGTTCCATTTTCTTTTATAGACTAACAGAAATATCAAAAAACAATGCTATTAAATCATTCAAAAATCCGTGAGTAAAACGCTTAGATTCTGATTTTTCTTTATAGTTGTTGAGTAGAGAAAGAGAAATGAAGAAAAGAACAGGAGAACTAACACAGGCTGTCAAACTAGGCCGTGTGGTCTAAAATTGAAACGGCTTTGTATAAGATATAACGTAAAGGCTGTAAGTACAAATGGCCAACTTCTTTAGGCTATGATATCGCAGTTACTTTCTGATAGCTAATAAATCTTGTCGTCGAATAAAGAAAAACCATCTCTTACCGTACTCCACTAGACAGAAAAGAGTTTCATCAAACAGTATAATTCTCGTGTTTATCTGTCAGTATTTAAGCGCCAGTTTCTGGTAGTTTCCAGTAATTTAGCCCCAACTCTAAGAGAAAAACCCATTTATGGATGTGTTTTCACCTAAACTGAAATAAGTTACTATTCCACCTACTAATTCATCTTTTTAAATGAAAGAACACTCATGGATCATCCAGTATAAGGATA